TATTAAGAAAAATTTTTGTACCTTTACCAAATTATTATAATAAAACATATACAAGATCATCAGTATTATTAAATAGACATAAAAGAATTGTCTCCTAAAGATTACGTTAAAGTAGCAGCACAAAAAGTATAGTTTTAAAAGATTTCATTTATCACAATTATCAACAAAAGAACAATTTTAACCAACTTTTGTTATTCATATTTAAATAAGCTGTTAAAAGATGGTGATTATAAAATCTGTCAAAATATTTCAAATTTTTAAACATTTCTGTAAACAGAACAAAATAAAATATTTTTGCTTTTTACTTATTAATAGCAAAGAATTTAACTAAGAAAAAAATAGCTGTAACAGCTTGTATTCAGATTAGGTGTAGCAGAGAATAGGAATCATTAGCTAAAGTTAACTTCTCGCGGTGAAAATTGCAGATAAGCCTCCAAAGCCAGCAATTATGTTGTGTAGCAACCGATTGGGAAACAATTATCAAATTATGTATTAGAAAATTACCTGCAAACTGGGAACTTTCTTATCGCCACTCATTATCTGCGACCTTACCAATCAAACACTTTAATTAAAGAACCAAACTATAGATGGTTATTTTAACAGAATATTTTTTTTTTCTTTTTAGTCGTGACAACAGTTTTCTCTTGATACAACGTACAAAGAAAAACCTTTGATGTCACACAATGTTACAGATTTACAAAACAACTTTTAAGTAAAAGAACTTTAAAGACGATATTTAATCTCTGCTGCAGTTGCTCGATTTACAAACATTTTAGATTTTATACAATGTTTTTTTTCTACGGTGTCCGTCGGAATAAAAAGACATGTTCATATGAACATATGAATACACATTCACTTGTTTAATAAACAAAATAGGAAGCTTCTACGTTATTCGTTGCTGTTTTGAAAGTAGCTTTAAGCGAATAATGTGGAATGTGTTCAGTTAGTTAAGTAAGTGCATATTTTTTGAACAACTAGGTAGACGAGGCAAATAGAAATTCTGTGTTTCTGTTGTTTTTTAAAATCAAGGTAATGCTAAAGAAAAAAGATATGTAAGGTGGCAGGTGGCACTCGAGAAAAGACATTATAATGTATATTCACGAATAAAAATTTGTAGAGATAGCGTCTCAGTTTCAGTAAATATTCGATAATAATTCAATTTGCAATATTTTATATCAATAAAATGTAAAATGTAATATTTATTTGAAGCAACCACACTTTGCAGAAGTTGCAAAGAAAACTATAATTTTAATCTTATTGTTAGTTTAACTTAACTTCTTTACACTTGATGTTACTTAAAAAAAGAACTTGATTGATTAAACAAAAATAAAGTTAGACAATTGCGAGGCAATTTTAAAACTATAGAATATTTCTTATACATGTACAGTTAGTTTTAGTTAGGAACCAGAATTTATTTTCAAAATACATAAATAACAATAAATGGATGAAATGGTATTAATCATAGAAAAAGCAATCAACTAGTGCGTGGTATCCTTCCTCCGGCTTTGTTCTAGATAACAATATGATACCTACAAGTGTGCACAAAATATTAAAAACAAATAAGACAAGTGTAAATAAGAAAAAAAAACTGGGAAACAATAAATATACAATAAAAACAAGAAAAAACAACAAAGGTGTAAAGTGTTTCACAAACAGTTTTTTTAAAGAAAACGATTGTTTATTATGAGGAGTGTAAAGCATAACTAATAAGTTACCAGTAATTATGCTGTTGCATTATTATTATCAAGCTTTTGTTGGCTTTTCTCCAAATTAAAAATTATTCAATTGTAAGGGTAGAAAGAAAGAATTGCTAACGACTTTTTACTATTAGTGATTTGAGATTGTTATATTAACTATAATTCAGATTTATTTAAATTTAAAATTGAGCTTTTGTCAACTCGTAATATTCTATGTGCTTTTCAAATATTTATACAAAATTCGTTACGTGCTTCCATATACTGAAACTTCTGCAGTAGTGCTATTGTATCTGTGTACGTATATATAGATACTCGTATGTGATCTTTGGATGTGCTCAAATCTGCAAACACATCAGAAATTCAATACACCCTCGAATTTGCTCAGTGTAATTTGATGTTACAACACTCTGTATAAAATAATTGAATTGCAAATTTCGAAACGGGTTTATCTTGGAAGAATAATTTTTTTATGAAATACAAAAAACTGAACTGCTGTTGAACTATTCGACTTAGTTATTTGCAGGTATTATTAAAAAAATACGAATTCTTTGAACAACATATTTAGTAATCGACAAAATAATCGTTATAATTTCCTAAGATGAGACCTCTTCGAAATTCACATGAGTCCTTGGTTGACTCCGTAATAAAACAAGGCATATTACTGAAAAGATTGAAACCTTTAATTACCCTACCAAGCATTAAATTCGTATTTTTCTTCCAAACTTCGTTACTTCCTAATTAAATCGAGTTCGTCTTTTTGTTCTCTTGTATCAGACTTACCTTTTAATTTGGTTTCGAGCTGTTTACTTTTTCGATTCACATTAAATGACAGAAATAAATCCCAAGCGTTATATGCCATAGGTTAACTGCGTGGGGAGCCAGGTGTATACACAACAAATAAAGAAAGAAAAAAAACTTATACATGTGAACTGTAAAAATAGGAGCAAGTCGTCAGTTCCTGTGTTGGCTTTGAAAGTAGAAATAGAACTGAAACTGAACAAAGTGCTTTATGCCATGAAAACTGACACTTCTCGGTGGTGAAATATATCAGCTTCTCAGAAGTGGTAAAAATAAATATCTCAATTTAACGAAATGAGACAATGTGATATTATTGTTTTTGTCTTTATATTTACTGGGGTATAAATTGCTTTAACTTTTCATTCCAAGAAAATAAATTAATCAACCCTCTATGTACATTTTTTCATAAGTCCTCAATTTTTATATTTCGACTTGTTACGAAAAACATGCTGGCAAGATAAAAAAAAACAGTTTTTAATGTAAAGTGCAACCAGCTAATGCTCCTACTTACGTTATTTTAGAAAATAATGTTAAAACTTTCTGACAAGTAGCTTGCTTTGTGCACCAACTTTTTCCCACTAATCAGTCCTAAATTATTAAACATACTTACGTCTCACCATCTGCTCATTTACAAAGCCGCATTATCTTCTTTTATTTAGTCCCAGGTGTTTTTTATATCGATCATATGTGGGCGGAATGCATAAAAGTGAGTACCTCTTTCATCCCGATCACGCCAGGTATGAGGGCACTCTGCACAATGTTTAAAAAGCCGTTAGGGGTGAAATACAATACCATTTAGTGGTTTCTCAGTAAATGGACATTAATTAGTAAACCTTGTCGTATTCTGTTACACTTCAGTCCAGCGTGTAGTTGAAATAAAATGTCGTATATGGATGAAAGAAAAAAAAGAATAACGCCCTTCCAGTTAAATTGCGCATTTTATGTCTGAATGTTCAATTTATGAATACAACACTCGACGCTTAATTTTAAGGTTTTTGTTCGTGTTGGAATGGTTGACGTTTATTCATAATTAATTTTATTAATTGCAGCCATTTAAGAATGTTGGATAATATTTTGATTTGGATTAAAATGTGCTATGGTATGCATACGACTGCTGAAGCGTTAAAATTTAATATACTGCAATCGCCAAATTAAATCTAATTTAATAGTACCTAATGAACTTTTCATTTTATGTAATTAACTAAATTACATCATTTCACTTAGTTTATTCAGCATTGTTAAAACCAGACATAAAACTTCAAATTAAAGAAAAAAGCAGTCACAAACGTTGATTAAAAACAAGGTCTATTCATTTTTTAAATAAAAACACACTGTATTGACTTTATCTTTTGTTAAGAGCTTTTGTTTCATTCATTCAAAACAGCTTTTAGCGTCATTTTTTTTCCATGTAAGCATTTCTTCAACTTTAAGGAGTATAGACGAGTGTGCTGATAAGTATTATTCTGTTGTAAAGTTAACAAATAAAAGCAAAAACTTCTAGTAGAATAGTCGAAGTGCAGACGAACCGACAATAGACTACGAGTGAAGCCATGCAAGGGGCCGTTTATTTAAGAAGATAGGCGATTTATCGAAAGTTAGTTGGTCGACTTTTGATAAAAGCCTTGTATGTTCATTCTCAGGACTCAATTTATTGCCTCTTTAGACGATTAGTAGATTTTATCGTTGTTTCAAAGCAATGTTTTTCTTTAGTGATAAGGACAAACATTCAATCTAACTGAATCTGAATTTAAGTGCACTAATCATTTTTTCTTTTTATTTTATTTTGCCACATTTAGTGTCCACTAGCAAGAACTGGTTTTGAGCGCTCTTGTTAAAGCATTTTTAATAAAACTAAACTAAAGAAAACTAGAATTACAGACAAAATAATATTTACCATATGTATTCGTTATGTATTTAACTATTTTTTGAAAAAGCAAATGAACAGTTTATTTTCAATAAACCAAGAAGAAATTTATTTTTCATCTTCTAGTTTAAAACTGCTTAGCTGTCTTAGATTTTGAAACAAATTTAGTTGATTTCCGAAAATGAAATTGAGTTAAGGCCATTTCCTGACTTTATGCGCTTTACTGATTCAGAGTTTGCATTCCACTTGGTGATTTTAGCTCTTGCATTACATTTAATCTCCGCAACTGGTAATCAACGATTACGAGTATTTATTAGTTAAAAAATGTATTATTTACATGCAATACAAACTTTTAAAAAATATGGTTATTTAATAGTGTTTTTTTACATTCAATTATATTTATTTTATAAATCACATTTGGAGAAATTGTATAACAAGATTTTTGACAAAGAAACGTCTTCATTTTTTCTGGTTTCGATATTTATATTTCTTAAAGTTTAATTAAATCTATAAAAATTCCTATATGGTTATCATTCTTTTGAAGTTATTTGCTCACTGTTTGCATTGGACGATTGTAATTTTCCTTCAAGTGCACAATCTAAACTTGAGGTAACACGTGCTCCAAAAGTTTGACATTTATGACACATTATCAGTGCACTTACTAACCTAAAAATTTGACGTAAAATGACTTTCATCAATGCTTTTCTGTCCGACGAAGAGAAAAAGTATGAGTCAAATAACTCTTCAGAAAAATCGTCTTCAGAAGGAAAACAGTGGGGCTACGATTTGTATCCGGAACGTCGTAAGCCCGACACTAACCCCAGTTCAGGCGGACTTCTAGACAAAAAAGGCTACGAAAACATCCAAAAAATAAAATGTGAACGCAACGTTTATAAGTGCATTAAACAAAGCCCCATAATTAAATTGATGATGGGGGCATTGAAAAGCTCTGGATGCCCTGTGGACATTAGGCGTCACATCTCTTGTGAAGAATGCGACTCCAGTGTAAGTGGTGGCTTTGACCCCGTTCTAAATCAGGTAGTGGTGTGCCAAAATGGGGTGAAAAAGCCCGCACATGTTCAGGGTGTTTTATTGCACGAAATGATCCATATGTTCGATTACTGCCGCCATGATTTGGATTTCAAAAACCTTGATCATTTGGCGTGTACTGAAATTAGGGCTGCGAATTTGGCACATTGTAGTTTTATGTCAGCATGGGTCCAGGGAGATGCCTCACTTTTTACTATTAAGGCCACGCATAGTGATTGTGTTAAGAGTAAAGCGCTTAGTTCAATTCTAGCAACTAGGAATATTTCCACTGAGGAGGCTGTAGATGCGATAGAAAGGGTGTTTCCCAAATGTTATCGGGATTTGGAACCTGTGGGGAGACGGATACGGAGGAATTCTGATGATATGTACAAGGCCTATACAGAAGGGTTCTATTATGGATATGATAGTGTTTAGCTAACATGTTATTTATTGTTGTACATAGAAACATTTAATAAATATTTTAACACGTTACACTTAGAATTTAATTTGCTACGGTTGGTCACAGGGTTATTTCTATTTGTTTACATTATTTCCTACATTATTATCATGTAGCCCAGATGATTTTCAATGGTTCTTAGTTTTTTGCAATATGAATTTTGATAAAATCTAAAATCGATTTTGTTTTTCTCGTGAATACAGAATATTTTAAGTTGTTTAAGTATACATGATTTTGCAAGAGAAGTACACATTTTTATACACTCCTTATATAATTATGATAATTGTATTTTATAGAAGAACACTAAAAAAATACACTAAATGCGAGTTACTAGAATAATTATTTGTCATGTTTGAGAAATTAATACGTATTCTACATATGGACATGCACATTGTAGTTCAATTACATACTTATATCTACATAAAAAAAATTCAAATAAATTTATTAAAGTACGTACAACAATGTTAATAACAACGGAACAATTAATCATAAGAGTGATTCAAAACAGCTAATTTCAGATAACTATTGATAATTTTTCACATTTTTCGATACAGTCAAGAAAAAACTTGATTGTATCGAAAAATGTGTTATCTAAAAATTTCTAATACATTAATATTCTACCTATATTATAAAAGAAAAGCAGACAGAGATAGATCTAAAAAAGAAAAAAAAAAGTAAAACTAAATCCCAACATATCAAATATTTTTCCGACACGTGTTTCGTCAACCATGTTGGCATCATCGCTACGCTCGATATACCTTATACTTAATAATAATTGTGGGATTTAGTCTTACTCATTTTTTTATTTCAGTAATTGTAAAAAAAGCACCTTGTATTGAAATGTCTCATTACAAACAGTTTTGGAAACTATATTTTGAAAATAAGAAAAAATGTTACAATCAACGATACAACGTCATACTTAATTTGACTTAACAAAACTTAATCGCTGTTATTCATCCAAATTGTTACCCCAATCGCTACGCTCGTTCTTAAAATTCATTTAAAAAATTAAGCTTGATAACGTGCCCGTTAATCAAAAAATATTAAAGTAGAAGTATTATCACCATGAAAAAATCACAACTGTTAGGATAACCATGATTGTCCAACTGAATTTTTTAAATAACTTTTATAAATTTTCTAAAATATACACTACATAGTATAGTAACTAACAGTAACTATAACTAATTTTACCTTTAAACTAATAAAATGGTACAATTTTTTACAATAAACAATGAGAAGCGACAAGAATTGACTAATCCACGATGCGAGAGAGAATTAGATTTTGGTGTTGCAACATTTAAACAAAAGATTTAATAAATAAATTATTATTACATATGTATATTAATTTACTTAAGTAGCATATTTTTTTAATGTTGTACATAATTTATGTCATAAGTAGTTTTCATAATACGTATATCTGTTTGAATGTAATTTGATATTTTTATTCCACCAAAAAAGAATTGACAAAATAAAACTGAGCAAAAAACATTTCAAGGTAGAAAAGTATGTCAGAGTAGGGATCATGTCCTCTATTGAGATCTCAGAAATTTGGAAAATTATTTTCTCATAGTTTTTTAAATATTTTTCCACCAACAATCGATATTTAAAAAAAATGCGAATTTTCAGTTCTGTTAACAAATCACTTAAACTTTTCCCACTTTGTATAATATCACATGAATTTCGTCTGCAACTGCACAGCACAATTCCTTTATTTGTATTCAATAAAACTTTACGTATAATGTGTTTCCATTCCAATGAATTTCACACAAAAAAACTATTAACACGGCCATAAAAATTTTACGTTACCGTACCTTAAATAAATTGTAAACTGGGCGAAAAAGTCTGCAACTACTGCACTCATACTAGATCAACACTAACAAGATCTATTACAAATATTATAATATTATAAATATTTTTAAGTGCTAAAAAATTTGTGTAAAAAATGTAATAATTTACTAAAAATTTAACTTTTATCACATTACAATAATAGTTTAAAACAATTAACTCGTATTGAGTAAATCGGCAATCTGCTTAATAGTACTGAGATTTTTATACATATACGCCTTTGTCTCCCACAGCATTTTGCACAACTTCTCATCCGAAGTTTCATTCATTGCGATTTCCTCCGACATTTGTGGAGAAAACCGAAAATATGGTACTCCAATCGTAGAGCACCAGGCCCTAGCTCTATCCACGACTCTCCCATCACTGGCAGTTGCCTATTTTGAAAATATTCTTCTAGTGAAAGGATTATTAATTTGAAAAACAAATTACCTGATCGACTAAAAGTGTTCCCAAAGTTGAAATACCCGTATAAAGTTTCACCCCGTCGAAAATACTGCCAGGAAGAAACACATCGATATCCTTGACGGGGGTTACGGGGATTACCCCTGTGCCTAAACTGACTACCACGGAGACCGGGGCGGCTTCCTCTTCACGACCAACTGCTTTTAAAGCTAAATGGTGCTCGTGAATTTCAGACAGGGCGTCCAGTGTGGGGTTGTTTGCAATCAAACCTCCGTCCAGAAAGTACCCAAATGCTCTGAATTGTAAAAAATGAATATCAAAACAAGACACCACATTCTTATTTTTGTTGAATGATCTTGTATTTGCTTATTTTGGTTCTAAATACCATCGAGTGGTTTTTAATTGCCCTTTCATCTTACATAAAAAATCTCGTCAGTATTGTTTCAGATCGAAGTGTTCTATGACTTTGAAATTAAGTTGGTAACATAGACTATCAAATTTAAACGTCACATTTTTGTAGTCAATTGTCATCCATTTCCGAGGGGCGACCGTTGGCATGGCCGTCACCTGACCCAATCTGATATCACGAATAATTCGGTGTTGCCAACTTAATTTCAAAGTCACAAGTCACTTTGACTAGAAACTATCGAATCGAATAGATTAAAACTAAAACACATAAAAGAAATCGCTTGGTGAAAAAATAATCTAATTTTAAAACCTCTTTCCTGAAGTTTTGAGAAAACCTAATTAAGATTTGATGTTTTTTTATGTGAAACTTCTTATTTAGTTTGACCACGTTCGTAATGAATGCTTTTTGGTATTGGTATTGGTAAAAACTGTTTCAAAGAGTTTTGGAAGTGTTAACTTTTGGATAGACGTTTTACAAAAAAATTAAAAAAACATTTATTAAAAAAAAACCTAAAATAATCGAAAGATTTTTGAAACAGAATAGACTTATTCGCAAATATTTGTTATTATTACGGAGAACTACATACTAGGAGGCGAAACGAGATACAAAATTGCTTGATTTTTTGGACCCAAAAAAAGTAGTACGGCGGAGTAAAAATGAGGGCGCTTAGAGCGTTTTACCGTCTCAGTTTCAAATCGTTTTTAATTAATTTAAATTCAACCAGTTTACTAATTGCTTGGAAAAAAATGCAGAAATGTTGAGATTTATATTCTTAATAAGCTGTAAAAAACGAACCACTAAATTTTTCACGAGGAATATGAGAAAAAAATATTTAAAATTCAAAATCTGTGCCCCGTTTCGTGTTTTTCAAAATGCTGCGAATACGGTTAAAGATACAATAAAAATGTAAGAAAGAAAGTTGTAGAAAATAAAATTTTCTAGTAAAAATTCTGCGACACCATACCTCTATTGTTAATGGTTTAGGCCTCAAAGACGTTCAAAGCCGCTCAAGCGACGGATCCATTTCATTTTTACTGGTGATTTAGTGCCGGGGGGACACTTTAATTAACGCAATTAAAAGCTAAACCGTTGAAGATAGAAATATGGTGTCGCAGACTTCTTCGTAGCAAATTTTATTCTCTACAATTTTGTTTGTTACATTTTTTTTGTATCTTTAACCATATTCGCAGCGTTCTTAAAAATATTAGGCGGAACGCAAACTGATAATTGTTTATAATTTATTTTTAATACTGTTTTCGATATTTTTGAAAACGCTGCAAATACGGTTGAAGATACAAAAAAAATGTAGGAAACAAAATTGTAGAGAATTAAATTTCCTACAAAAAAGTGCGCGAGACCATATCTCTATCTTTAACCGTTTAGGTTTAAATTAATTTTCTGTCTCTTGACCACCGGTAAAAATGAGCCATTCATTGAAGATAGAGGTATCATCTCGTCGACCTTTTTCTTGGAAATTTCCTTCTCTACTTTCTTTTTTTTATTTTTCTTGTATCTAACCGTATTCGTAACATTTTCACAAATATGAGACGAGGCGCAAATTGCTAAACGTTTGAAATTTTTATATATATAGTTTTCAATAAAATTTTTGCATTACCTTTATCTTTTATTATTGAGAATTTAATGCTCTATCTGCCTTTATTTTTTATTTGCGTTTTGCTCACCGTTATGTAAATACAGCCATTTATTTTATTAAAACTTGAACGGAAAGGAACAACTGCGCTATCTGGCCTCGCTAACGGAACTATCGAGAACGGGAACGTTTTGTTTTACATCGTGTCGTATCCGTAGTTATTATTCAAGTATTTTGTATGAATTCTATTAACTGCAAAAATTTCACCTGAAATATGTCGGAGCAGCCCCCGTAGCCCTCCCAACTTGCCACACATACTGCTCTTCGGGCGGTGGCGGCAACTCATACGGCGAATTATGCTCAACTTGCAAAATATCACTTGGACTTTGATAATTCCTAAACAAGTGCAACTCGACCGGTTTCCTATCGGCCAGAACCCCCGTAACCATAACTCTCGGATGCGTAATATTCGCCATCACAGTTTCCGCTCCGAAGGTTTCCTTCAAAACGTTTTCCAACGGTTCACTAGCATACGGTCTTATCCCCACAAACGTAAGCTCCTTGATGCGAAAATACAAACAAAGACATTCTTTCATTGTTTTACCAGTTGCAATCCCCAACGCCAGAATCCCTCCAGTGCTAGTCCCCGCTATCCAATCAAAACAATGACTGACCGGTTTTTGCAGAACATTTTCTATTTCTAGAAGCATTTCCACGAGGACCAAACCTCGAATTCCGCCGCCATCCATGCATAAAAGGCGCCCATTTTTGGGTAATTTCCCATGTTTGTACTTCTTTGAGGCAGTTTCCATCGCTGCCACATCGAGCATTTGGTTTAAAACATCGCGATTGGTGGGACCGATCACCGGTGGAGGAGGAATGCCGTCGTATGTACCCCCGTGGACACACCCATCGGTGCAATAGGGGGTCCCCGGGGGACACCGCTGTGCCCCAACGGCGTGCAAGTAATACAAAATTTTCGGTTCTTGCTCCTTCGTTATAATATGTCTCGGGGAATGCCCCGCATTATTCAAAATATTCAAATCGACTCCGAAAATAATCAAACACTGAATTATCGATATGTTTCCTTGTTTGACAGCGAGATGGATCGGTCGGTTTCCCTCTGCGTCCCCAATGTTGGCATCTGCTTGCCGACTAAGAAGTGCAACGACACATTCGAGGCGATTTCTCATGATCATGATGTGCAAAGCTGTTTTTTTGTCGAAATTTAGAGAGTCTATGTGGCAGTTCATGTCGACTAGAGCCTCGATTACTTCCCGAGAACAGGCCCAATGTAGAGGTGTACCCCCCATCTTCATGTCTTCCTTGTGGAGGCTGTTGGGATGGCTTTGGAGGTAGTCGCCGACGTAGCCGGGTAGGACGTTGTCGTCTACTAAGCCTGAGGTTTTGTTTACATCAGCTCCTGCCAGAAGTAGGGCTCGGACGCAGTCGGGTTTGTCGGCTTGACATGCAAGGTGGAGTGGTGTGTAACCGTTTTTGTTACGGGCGTTCAAGCAGTTTGGGGCGCTTCCTTGAGTCAATGCCTAAAAATATATCATATTAAAACTTTTTACACCTTGTTCACATATTTTCAATTTCGTTTAAATTTGTACCAAATGACAATAAAAACGAATCTAAGAAAGTATTACCTACGTTATTTTGTACCTTTTGTAAACATTACATTTTGAGATCTACCTTAAAAAGTGTTAGTGAGTTTTTATATAAATTGATTAAAGAAATATCTTACAAATTTTTACAAAGAATACAGTAAGTTAAAGACTATTGTTTGAAGCATTGAGCAAAATTAGAAAATATTTTTTAATGATAAGGATGTAAGCCTTTTAAGTAAGTTATTATTATGGCATTTATTAACTCAATATGTAAACATATGTTTTGATTTTCATTTTTGATTGTCAATTTAGTGTATAAAACTTTCAAAAGCTCCCAGATACCAATAACATTTGCTTGATGATTATCGAAAAAGTTTACATAAAGAAATTGATTTTTGGATTTTCTTTTGCATTACCTACACAACGTATTGTTTATACAGGGTGCGCCAGAACTCGCGCCCCAGAGAAAAATGCCATATAAGGTAAGATTCCAGGAACATGGAAAAAATGTTAAAAAAAAATTATCTATAAAAATTTCGAAGTTATGAGGGTTTAAAATTTGCACTTTGACTCTATTTATTTCTGTTAGAAAAATAATTTTCCACGTTTTTTTGCTATAGGCTATTAAAAGAGGAAACAAGGAAGCCGTATCCTAAATTGTAACTCTGTTCAATGTTATTTGTGGCTTTTATTGGCAAAATTTTTGTCTCTTTACTAAATAATTGTAAAAAAACATATACAAAATCATCAGTATCCTTAAATAGATATAAAAAAATGTCAAATGTCAAAAGATAAATGTCAAAATTTTTTGACAGAGGATTTTTTAAACATTTTTTTCATGTTCCTGGTATCTTACCTTACTTGAAAATTTTCTCTGGGGCGCGACTTCTGGCGCACCCTGTATAATTATAAAACATTTTTTTATAATGTAAAATGAACAAAAACAAAAGTAGCTAAAATGATAATAACTTGGTCATTGTACCTATAAGAATATCGTAATTAAATGTACAGGGTGTTTCACACAACTTTACGAGGCTTGCGCCTAATGTACGCACCCAAATCACTGTTTCATTATAATAGTCATAAACTGCAGTTTTTCAGAAACAATTATCATTTGTTCTATCAAGAGACGGTATGAATATGATTCTAGTTTATCTATTTTAATCACTAACTAACTAAAAACGTAATTTTTTAAAGGGTGAACAAACTAGAGAAGATTATTCAATTTTTCAAAATTTGTAATCGAGTTCGTATCGGAATATATATTATTGATTGCATCTTACAGGCGCAGGCCTCGTAAAATTACGTGAAACATCCTGTATAAACAAAATAATTGTTTTTCTTAAACAATAAATTAAAAGTTTTAATAAAAATGCAATTACATAATATTCCTTGTTATTAGGACAAAAAGTACCAATTGTTAATAAGAGCTTTGTACATTGATTAACAGTTTTTATATAAAGATTAAAAAATGATTTATTAAAAATCTGAAAATGTAAATTATGATAAGAGCTGGAAGGTCATGTTATTAACCTTTTTGGTCTTGTCTAATTTCATATCAGCATTTGTGAACACATTTTGTTTTATAATTCCTCGGTCAAATTGACGGCAAATTTAACCGCGCTTAAATCTTACCGAAGCACTTAAATACGCCAAACCAGGAAATAATTATAACAAGAATTTTTTTGGTTTAACTATCAACTGAGATCACGCGCAACTAAAACCAAGATATTTTTTACTAAATCTTTAATACAGTTCATTGAATTGTAGTTTATAGTAAATTTTTATCATTATTATTTCAAATCCTTTTTATTGATTTTATTAATTAATTAATTGTGCACAATTTTAAACGATGTACGCTTTTTAGAAGCTAAGGTAGCATAATAAACTGCTCCACAAAAGTTAAGAAAGTCGCATTATTTTACAACAAACAAATGTTATTCTTCTAAGCATTGTGGAAACCAGTAAAAACAAAAAAGTAAAAAGATATATTCCTTTATCTCACTTTTAATTGATTTTTTTTTAATAATTTATTAATTTAATAAATTATTGCAATTATTGCACACTTCCTTAACTTTTGTGAAGCAGTATATAATGTTATTTGCATAAGAAACTAAAGTTGAAACTTTAAAATTTGAAATAGTATTCAACAATACAACCAACATTGCAGAATAAGCATGCACACTTCACGGACTAATTCGTAAACTTTACAGTTGACTGATAAAGTATTTCGTAAACGATAACTTTGTTTTTCTGTTATGTTCTAATAGAAATAAACATCTTGTAAATAAAATGCCAACGTTCGAACTATGAACTTCATAAATACCTAAAAAAGATGTTCTCATTTTTTATTGTTTAAGCGAGTTATTAAATAGAATTTTCCCATACAGGAGCAATATACGGTCACGTCTTTTGCAATTTCATCGTTTTTTTGTTGATACATGACATGATTATTGTATTATCTTATTTTAGAATTCTATTCTATTGATTTTATAGTTAAATATAATTTTATTACATCGTACATTTCAATATTGTTTTTTATTGTTTAATAAATATTTTGCCCTACTTTATACTCCCACTTTTAGTTTTATATTCCTTCATTGTCATTAATAAAACTGAAGATAATAATCTTTAGCACTCCCCTAGACTCATCCAAGCAGGATTAATAAACGAAACTCAAAAACCATAAGAATTAGATTAAAAGAAATAAAACACTTACTGCAATGATATCTTTGGTAGTGCTAGCAGCATAGTGGAACACTGAATCAGAGTTATAATCAAGATGTTCCAAAGAAGCATTTGCAGCAACCAAAACTTGTACTGTTTTCAAATTCTTTGTGGTAATAGCAACTTGTAATGGAGAGATTCCAGTTTCATCATCAGTACTATTCAAATAATTATTAATCCTAGGATCTTTAAAAGAATCATAGAGACTAAAATGAGCAGCCAGATGTGCCAAATTCCAGGAGGGGTGTTCAGCAAGGACATCACAAATCTTTTGTAAACCTTGTGCATTGTGCATCTGAAACAAGATTATAAATCAATTGAATTTCACAATTACAGCAATTTTACCTCTTTTGAAACCTCAACAAAGACAGGTAATTTATCCTTCAGGACACAAAATTTCACTTCAGCTTCATCAAGAATTGGCGTGCGGTATAAACTGTAACAAATCCATTTTTGAAACAGTTATTTAAATTGTTTAGTGCCCCAAACCTGTATGTTTGGTGTAAGCTTTCAGTGTATGGGCGATGGAGGACTATTTCGTAAGTAGCCGCTTTTTTCTTGTCAACATTATTTGCTGGGAGATACAGAACCAATCCATCTTCACGTAAATGAATCGCTCGATCCGAAAAAGTGTCTGATCTGGCTTCAAAAACTTTGGTTGGGGGAGTTTCTGAACTAAGGAAGCTACGTAAAACTGAAAAATCAAAATTAAATCCAGGTACCTATTATCAGAAAAGAGTGAAAGGGGATTACCATTAAATCCTTGGGCAAACATTTTTTACAACTTAATATATATATTTATAAGTTACAAACACTAATCACTCACTGAGATTTACTACTGATCATTGTCTATTATTTGGGAAATTACTATCACAGTTCAAGGTTTGCTTAAATGAGTAACTGGGAGATTAGGTTAAATCACCGGCACAGTAAATTTACATTTGAATTAACATAACATTTATTGATCGTCTTATTTTAAAGCATTTTCTTCATTTACTCAGTGGAAATATGTTTGAAAATGAGAAAAAAATGGATTTTTCTTTTACTTGTCAAAGTAGAAATCTGTACTTTGACATTTGAGAAACGTCAACTGGTTTTAGGTTAGGTGCAAGACCATTTGTTCGTTATAATAGTGGCGTTAGCATATAATGAGCAAATTCAGAATGTTTTCCGACGAATTTGAACAAGTAAGTGACTCAAACACCTAAAATTTTAACTATTTATCATTAAAGCTACATTGTGTGCTAAAACTCTTGTAAAAAGCTTTGTAAATTGTGACCATGTGTCTCAAGCATATTTGTAAAAGTGTACAATTAATACCGACCTACATGTTTTGCATGCACCATTCCCATAATTAGTGGTAGTAAAATTGCTTAAAAATTGACAATAAATTGAATAGACACTGATTTTCATTTATTTCAGGGTTATGATTACAACAGCTATGATGAATATGGGGCTCACACAGGGGACCCCAACTTGGATAATGAATACAATAAACAGCACCTAAAGATGCCGGAAATAGTCAAAAATTTCTTGATTTATTTCCGCAATTGTGTAAATGAAGGTTTAATCTTTGAGTTGCAAACTTTGTATGAAACTTCATGGCCAAAACTAACAGAAGATTATTTCGAGAAGCGTCCCTGGCCAGAAGAATCAGAAGTGTCTGCGTTAGTCGACAGTGATCCTGTGAGTAAATCCACAATTATTTTACCTTCTGAACCGATTTCTTGCACATCCTTTATTTTCCCTTTCACTTGATCTAGTATTTTACCCCCAGTTTCACTCTCTTGGACCTCCTTAATTTTTTCCTTTACGTGATCAATACTTTCTGTTCCAATGTCTTGGACGTCTTTAATTTTTTCCTTCACGTGCTCACTCTTGTCCTTTATTTCTTCAGTGATTTTCTCTTTGAGCTCTTCCTTTTTGCTAAGTAGTTGCCTTTTGTAATGCTCCATTGCGACTACTGGAAACAATATCGGGGACAATAAAAAGGAATGAGTTTTATTAAGTCTTTAGCAAAAGGACACGTCAGAAATGACCTAATTACAGAGACATCCCATCAATATCTATGATTTTTTGATGCTTATTGATTTCAAAGTTGTTGCCTAAATACCTGTTTAGTTATGTAGCATAGATGAACAAATTGAAAGAATTCACAATAATAGAAAAAAAAAGATAAAATTGCTTGGTTTATAGAAATACCAATTCATTATGTTACTGTAATATTGAATTTTCAATTTAGAATTTTTTGCCCCTTATTTTCCAATTAGTTTTTGCTAAACCAATTTAAAAAAATAGCCGAAACATGTAGCTAGTACATACAATAATAAACTTTGAGAGAACAGAACCTATGAAACTATTTTTCCCTTTATTATAACCGCACAAAATTCACAAAAATGCCTCAATAATAAAAATAAAAAAATGTATTTTCATGTTTCGTTGCAAAAATATAGTGTGTGACCTTTCTTTTCCAGGTTTTCATGATCCTTTACAAAGAGCTCTATTTCCGCCACATTTACGCACGCATTCAGGGGGGCCCAACCCTTGAGCAACGTTTCAATTCATTCTATAATTATTGCGACCTCTTCAACTACATCCTAAGCGCAGATGAACCTGTGCCTCTGGAACTCCCCGACTTGTGGTTATGGGAATTAATCGACGAATTCGTGTACCAGTTTCAATCCTTCGCGCAATACAGAGCCCGTCTTCAAAAGAAAACAGCTCAAGAATTGGAGACTCTAAACTCGCACAATAAAGTATGGAACGTACTTTGCGTATTGAATGTACTGCATTCTTTAGTCGATAAGAGTAACATTAAACAACAATTGGAGGTTTGCGCTAGTGGGGGAGACCCCGATTCGGTTGCTGGTGAGTTTGGGAGTCACTCGCTGTATAAAATGTTGGGCTACTTTTCCCTGATTGGGCTTTTGAGACTTCATTCCCTACTTGGGGATTATTACCAGTCGATCAAAGTGTTGGAAAATATTGAACTTCACAAGAAGTCGCAATATGCCCACATCCCGGCTTGCTTGATCTCAACATCGTACTATGTCGGATTTGGGTACATGATGATGAGGCGCTATTCTGACGCTATTCGCACTTTTTCGTCGATTTTGTTATACATTCAGAGAACCAAACAATTGTTTGCTTCGAAAAGCTACCAACACGACCAGATTAACAAACAAACCGATCAAATGTACCACTTGTTGGCCATTTGTTTGGTTTTGCATCCTCAATGCATCGACGAATCGATTCAACAAACTCTGAGAGAGAAAAGCTACCACGAAAAAATGTACAAGATGCAATATGGCGACCTCCAGGAGTTCGAAAACTGTTTCGTTTTCGCCTGTCCTAAATTCCTTTCTCCGTGTCCTCCACCAGTCGATTCCATCCCTGATGACTACTCAAAAGAGGCGATCCGCCACCAAACTCAAGTTTTTATGGATGAAGTACAGCAACAAAAGATGTTGCCGACTATCAGAAGTTACTTGAAGTTGTACACTACTTTGCCTATTGCCAAATTGGCAACTTTCATGGCACAGAACAAGAACAGCGAGGGCAAGTTCGACGTTGATAAAGAGACGCAGAATCTGTTGATTCATTTGTTGTGCTTCAAACACAAAATGAAGAATGTGGTGTGGTCGAAGGGGTCGTCGGGGTTGGAAGGAAAGTTGGAGAGTGGCTCAGAGGTATTGTTTTTTTAATTGTCAATGTTTTTTATGAAACAAAATATTTTCAGTTGGATTTCTATATCGATAACGATATGATCCACATTGCCGATACGAAGGTGGCTCACAGATACGGCGATTTCTTTATAAGGAAAATTTTAAAGTTTGAAGATTTGAATAGAAAACTTCACAATCTTAAATTGTAAGTGTGAAGTATCACTTTTGCATTCGACGAATAAAATGGAATGAAATAATTTAGGTTATTTTCTTCATCTTTCTTTGGAGCTATTTTTCCTTCATTTCCTAAACTTAAAAATGGAATTTTTTCGCACTTTTAACCTTGAATGTCTATGTAAATTTAGAAATGGTGGTCTAAGATAAACTTATTATAACATCACTTAAGTACGAGTATCATTGAAATTAATTAGGTGGTTTACTCACTGTGAAATCGAGAGGAAAGTCTTTTATCATTATCATTTAAGTAACAATAATAATAATCAGTCATGTGTGTGAAACAATACGTAAGTATCATTTGTTATTATAAATCTTATCTCTTATTGTAAAAAAATGTTGCATTTCACGTAATTATTAGCTTTGCAGTCACTGTTCTAATTTCTGTAAAATTCGTTCACAAACAAATGAATAAGTATTTCAAGTTAGTTTCACGACTTAATCAACACATGCGTATATGTGATGTTTTAAAATATTTTGCGTACAGAAGTGAGTATTTTTTTTTGCTTTATTATAAAATAAGCTTAGCATAGCAGTGGTATTTATGTAATTAAATAAAAGCGTTCTATTTCAATTTTAATGACAAAAGGATAAAAACGTAAATAAAACATTTCGGTTATTTTTTTAATCAGTGTGTAATTGCTATTATTAAATTGTGGAAAACACTTTCTATTGGTTTAGAGGTCCAAGTGCCGTAATCAAACTGCAAATTTTCATTTGATTTTTATTTAATTTTTATAAATTCATAATTCGAGGATGGGATGAATAATTCCTGGCATAATATAAGTTAGTTTTTACCAAAAATATCTATAGATTCATTGAATAATATGCTTTTTCCAGTGTGACTATAAAATTTTATAAAGTTTCGTCAGGTAGTTTTTCTTGTAACAATTCTAAATTGTTCTAATTGAGTTTTATAATTATTGTGCACACTAGACACTAAAGAAATTTCTCTTTCATTCAAAGAGAAAAAAATAACATTGCAAGACTGTCGATTAAAAGTAATACAAATTATAGTCGAGTAACAAGGGTCAGTTGTTGCGGTGGGTTTTGAATTGTTTCTAACTAAACGTTAAGTTGATAACATCTTGATAAATAAAAACATTGCATTAGATTACTGTCTCCCTTTTTAGGCCGGTAATTTTACGCCGCATCCTCGTACTTCCATACCAAAATAATCTAATGAGTACTTGATAAAATTCATAATGAAAATTACTCATGCGCTTTACTGATTTATGTATTCAGTATATGATAACACGTGACAATATACCTTAGTGCTACCATATTTTGAACACAGCTCCGTGACTTGATCACATAATTTTATTTCAACATGTCTGAAGAAATAGCCCAAGGTACAATTTTATGTCTACTTTATTTACGTTTTGTAGATGTCTTAACTTTAAACTTTGACAAATGTCTAGCTTTAAACCTCTGAGATTTATCCTTGTAATGCCTACTGTCTGTTCTACTTGTGTCTCTGAACTGTGCCCAAGGATGGACGTCTTCACTATCATCAACTTCAACTTGGTCCAACCACGTTTTGTACCTCATTTGGAATATTCTAAATCCTTTTTGGAAAGGAGCACTTTGCGATAATTTATTTTCCTAACAATTAAAATCAAAGTGGATTAAATGATAAAATCTTGAATGGAAAAATAATCACCTTATCATTTGAGATATCTTTACACTTCTTTTTAAAATCGTGCAAACATTCCATGAATTTCTTATTAGGCTTCACGTTCTCTCTTAAGCTAATTTCCATTATTTCAAGGACATAGGGGAAGTTTCTGTGGTAACAAGCTTGGTGTAGCATCGCGCCCAAAATTTCAGTATTTAGCCTAAATTAAGAATAGATTATATAAAAAAAAACGTGTTAAGTTAGAACAACCTATATGCGTGTGCCTCCATGTCCCTCAGTAATTCTAAAGCCTCGTCCTTGGTTTTACAACCCAGTGATAAGACCCCATACGTTATCAAATCTGGTCTATAGTTGTGTTTCTTCATATCGTCCAAAACGGCCTAAAATCATCAAAATTAAATAAAACAACTTGCAATTTTATTTACTCCTGCCTTTGCATTTTCATAATCAAATCTCATACTCCTCTTCTTAATTAACATGTTGAAAAAATCAATATCCGGCTTAACATCATGTTGTTTCATTTCACGTAAGAGCTCTTTTTCAGCCGCAACACTTCCAGGTAAGCAATCCAAAAGTTGCGTAAACGACTTAATATCAGGAGTGCAACGTTTCTCCGACATGTTACTCAAAAAACCCCTCAAACCCCCAACTAGCAGCAACCTATCTTCGGGTTTAGTAACTTCAGACAAGGAAATAATATTTCCTAAATGAGGCACTCTTGCCATGAGATTTGGGCGGCATTGTTCGACTTGATTCACTACTAAAGAATTCTCGTTTAACAATAACTCATTATTTTCTTCATCAGTCTTTAATTGGAGTTGATTCTGAATCACATATTTGCCATCATTTGAGCCCTCCAGTAACAATTTATTATTACCGCCGTTTAAACGCAAATCTTTTTTCAAAATTAACTGCAACGTGTCGTTCATAACATCCAAATTACCAATTCCACAATCCCTAATACATCTTAACATTAAGTTGTAGGTGTACAAATTTGGGGCAATTCGCTTGTCCACCATTTTTCGCCAAAGTAATAAAGCGTGACGAAAACCTGCAACCTTGTCTTGGATGCACGCTTGCAACAGGAAGTTCATTGTGTCGCCGTTTATTTTCACCTTTTTCGACGCCATTTCGTCGACTAAACTAAACGCTGTTGGAAGATCTCCACATCGTCCGAATGCTTTAATCATCGCATGATAATTTGTTTCATTTGGCTGATACATTTTTTCAATCATTATGCTTTGCAATTTTCGGGCTCTTGTTAGGCCGTCTTCTGGCCATGGACTATTCGCACATGCATTGAACAAGGCTGTGTATGTACCCGCCGTGATTTTCAAGTCGCGTTTTTTCATCTGGTTGTAAATGGAAAACGCCTTTTTCGTGTACCCCACACGTCCGCAAGCTCCCAGTAATAAATTGTAGATGTAATTTTCAGGTTTCACCTTGTCTTCCTTTATCATTTTTACTTCAACTACATCGATTGCTTCCTTGATTTTGCGTTGTTTGATAAGTGCCTTTATTATGTCTGCATACTGTTTTGTGCGCAGTCTTTCTAGTGGGATTGTTTTCTCCGACCAATCTTTTTCTTCTTCCAAATCTTTTGCATATACATCTTCTCTTTCTTCAGGGTCCCCAAAAGTGTCGGGATCATTCTTGAGACGGACTAAAAACTCCTGTTCTGTTTTTTCTTGTGTAATATTTGCAGCATGTGAGAATAATTTTGTGTTGGAGGTTAGGTCATTGATTTGCGCATTTTTTGCAAATTTACAACTTAATAGATGCTGATAACGATTAGTCGTGTGTAATGTGTTAGATTCTTGTGTTCTTGCACTTCGTGTAGCTTGCCGTGTCAAAAATTTTATTAGTTTTAAACGATACATTTCAAATGTCTTCTCCTCGTAACCTCAAAATACATTTGTTGACTCGTTGACAATTGACAGTTCTCCAGTGACGCCAACATGGTAACAATGAGAAATTTAAAATATTTTTTCACAAAATACTTTTTATTTTAAAAATAGGGTAGTTTGGTAGTTTTAAAGATAATTTTTGCATCATCTAACGCAATTACATTAACACAATTTTTTTTCGTATAGAAGTAAACCTTTGATTTAGTTTTTTTTTTGTAAAGTAATAATTACAAAAAACGATTATTTAATTGCATTTTTTCCTACACTTTTAATTATAACTATTCTAATTAATACAAAAATCTGTTTGGGGTAAGAATAGTAACTATGAGCTTCAAGGTTGGTGAACATGCGACGTCAGACGTCGCGGCGTTGGTCGTCGATTTTAGCTATGACGTAGCGATATTAAAATTGTCTTCACAACCTCAAAGTAACATTAACCTGCGGTAGTAGAATTAATTGAAAAATTTAATCATAAACGAGACACATTACATAATTTATTTGGGTAAAATAAATTTATTAATTTTAATTTATTAATGTCTTGCTGACTTTAAAGGTAATATGTCAAGAGTAATTTTCTTAAAATTCTGGCGTCAGAATATTTATTGTTTGCTGCGAATTTGAGGTATCGTAAATATGACTGGTAAGAACCTGACATTTCCATGTAATTTAGTTTTTTCTTCAGTAAAACAAGTTAGAGGCTCTTACATAAGAGTTCTATTTCCATTAAAATAAGCGTCTGGCAGCTGCTTAGTGGAATGTTAATTTCGCCCAGTTCACATTTTTTTCTCTAAGATTTCAAAAAAACTAGAGATTGCTATAGGTAGTTAAAGATTAAATTATTAATTTATTATATCGATCGTCTTGCGTACCTACAGATCATAAATGAGGAGCAGACTTTCAAAAAGCAGTTTGTCCAAAATTGCATTTTTGCATGAGAGAACAGAAACTGTCCTTCTTTTAAGAAAAAAAAAGCTTCCAAAATACCTCCTCAAGAATAATATATTCTGTAACAAGTTTAGAATATCATATTCTGGCCCAATTGCAAAAGTTTGTCTCACAAGCCGAAAGCGAGTGTGTAATATGCCATTCTAAAGGAGTTCCAGGATTACAAAATATATATTCTGTAATTAAAAATTAACCAAGAATATTGTTATTCTATAATAGTTGTACAAAAAAAAAATTTTTGATTTTTTTGTTCATTTTTGGTCGATTTAAATAAAGTGAGATTTAAATACTACAGGATATAATGTGGTTTCCAGACTGCTAAATGAAAATATGAGATTTGTTCAATAAGAGAAATTGGCTATAAAAAAGTTAATAAAAGAATGCTTGGGGTGATAAAGTTTATTCAGTGTGAACGATGATCCGGATGATCCTAATTAATTTTCGTTTGAAGGTTATTGACTGGTGTTCGAGTAACATTTAAAAAAATTAATATTAATACTTTAGAGATTTGCTCGAAAATTTGTTCAAAGTTTAGAATCCTTCGCATAACTAGTATTCGGGAATTTTTGTTACATACCGTTGTAAATATTTATTTCTGCCTGTCAGCCTTGAAATACTAATACGCTCATTTTGATGTTTTATGTTTACCAGCAATGCCTATGTTTGAGACTGTGTTGTTTAAAATTATACTTTAACCTTTAATGTTAACAGTAATCAATAATTTTCTCAAAATTGTAAACATAATGGTTAAAGGTTCGTAAATGATAAATTTTGATTGCATTTTGGAAGGGTAAGTTTAATATGTTTTAATTAATCAATCTTTTTAATAACTCTATTTGTTTGTATTTCATTCTCATATTTAAAACTAGGTCAGAACGCATTATTTACTTCACTTTAATTTATTTAAAAATCTTTGTTTGTTAAGCAATCAAATGCAAACATTTTTTTAATTGGGTCAAAGATGTGTAGGTTCTGTTTTTTGGGGAAAGCAAATTAATTTAGTTTTAAAAAACATTTTGTTTGTCTTTGCGATACGCATTCGTATTTCCACGTTTTTTATTTGAATATCGAATTTTCAAAATTAGTGCAGATTTATATTTTATTACAATATTGTTTACATTTATTGGACAAATAAAATGAATGCGTAGTTTATTAACAAAGTCTGCAACTTTTACTAAACTACTCCTTGTTTTGGGTGAATACAATGTTCAAATTTTGGTGTCGAATTGATGAGCGGTTTTTATAAATAAAAGGACATTTTTTTAAATGATTTTATACAGGTGCGCCAGAACTCGCGCCCTGGTAAGATAACAGGAACATGGAAAAAATGTTAAAAAATTCTAAGTACCTATAAAAATTTTGAAGTTATGAGAGTTTAAAGTTTGCACTTTGACTTTAGTTCTGTTGGAAAAATAATTAGCTACAGGCTATTTAGAAGAGGAAATAAGGAAGCTATATCCTAAATAGTAAATCTGTTTAATGTTATTTGTGGCTTTTATTGGCAAAATTTTTGTACCTTCACTGAATAATTATAAAAAAACGTATACAAGGTCATCAGTATCATTAAATAGCCATAAAAAATCAAATGTCAAAAAATAAATATCAAAATTTTTTGACACATGGAATTTTTTTAACATTTTTTTTCGTGTTCTTGGTATCTTATCTTACATAAAAAAAAATCTGGGGCGCGAGTTCTGATACACCCTGTACTTATGTAGTGATTTTTGAAATATTGAAAGTTTTCCGTCACATAATCAATTTTGAGGAATAATTGTTTAAACAAACATTTTTTTATAATTGCAATAATACGGATTAAATGTTTAATATTTTAATAACAAAACCAACGGTTTCTACTTTAAAAATTTAAGCAGTAAACATTTTCAATGAGAAGCATTTTTTCTTATTTGTAAATATCCTAAACAGTGAGCGGCAAAGTTATGGAATAATCATATTCATTAAAATTGAAAATATTTTATTTGGACAAAAATGCTCGAACAGGTCATTTTTTTTTATACTAAATTCTCAACTTGATTGTTTGCATGATTGTTTTTTGTTGATATTATTTCACTTTTTAGATGATTTTTTTTCGAAATCTTTATGTACCTAATATTTAATATTTTTGTGTTGTCATTTCATCGACAATTAAAAGATTTATCGAATTTATCGATTTATCGATTACGACCTATGTGTGATTTATTAATATGAATAAAAATAAATTGAATTTTTAGAATATGTACTTACTTCTACCTACTTTTAGGTAAGATAGTTTTTTTATTCTTTTATAATAAAACAAGATAAGCCAAATTTCAAGTAATTACATTTTTATAAAATGCGTATTCATTAGAACCATTGGGAAATGTTACTTAAAAAGAAAAAAATCTATTTGTAGTTGTATTTAAAATGAAAACTCAAATAACTATATTAGTTTCACTAAAAATAAACCATTTTACTAATTTGTTATTGTAGAAAAAATCACTGATAAGCAAAATTTTGAACACTTTATTGATTTACGGAAATTTTCCACAGTTGTTTTGTTTGTAGAGAGATAAATTAATATTGTACTCTTCCCCTTTTAGATAAGCCGCCTTAGTTGTTTTTGTAAATGCGATATGTAGTTAGTAGACGATACGTTCATCATGTTCAAATATCTGTTAATTCTCGCTCTCACGAGTTACATAAATGCCGCAGAATCTCCGATCATTGGGATTTTATCCCAAGAAGCTTACTTAGTTAAAGATGCATATCCAGACGCTGACAGCTTCATCGTAGCTTCCTACATAAAAATCCTGGAAAGTAGTGGTGCTCGAGTTTTGCCAATTTGGTAAACAAAACTACAATTTTAACACATAAAATTATCAAATCAAATTTTTTGTAGGATAGGCCAAGATGCGGCGTATTACCAAAGGGTGGTGAATTTTACTAACGGGTGAGTTTGTAATAACTAATCAGTAATCACCATAACTCCATAATTAACCAGCATTCTATTTCCCGGCGGAGGGACCTACTTTAATGAGACGGGAGGTTATGGCGAGGCAGCAAAACAGCTTTATGAATTAGCCGTCAAAACTAACGAGAAGGGAGTTCATTACCCTGTGTGGGGTATATGTTTGGGTATGCAGGTGTTGATGTATGGGGCGTTGGGCAGGGATATTCGAGGGGATTGCCAATCGAAGGACGTCGCTTTGCCTCTGGAGTTTGTCGCAGGTTAAAATCTTTTTTTATCGTATTGAAATGATGATCTATTTTTGAGTACAAAAAACTATATCGGGAACTGTTGTGTCAGGTTATGATGTAATCCTAGGGATTTGAGTATTAATTAAAGAACATACACGAGACGACTGAGGTGAAACAAAAGATAAACATGTCGTGGTGTTTGACCTTTGACTAATTGGTAATTATGTGCTTTTAACTTGGACTAAAAAGGAAATTATTGCCACCTACTTACAATATTATACTGCATTATTTACCGACTTCATTTGGTATTATAAATTTTAGCAACTTCCTTATTTGCGTCTGATTTGTACACAAGTTGACGGATATTTTTGTGAACTAAGCGTTTTTATTTGGAGTATATTACTACTTAATTGCGTTTGCGAACACATTTAATTAATTTAGAATTACATAATTAATTACATAAACACTAAAGTTTATAGGTCTTACAGTCGTGTTATGAAATTACATGAATTTTGTCAAAGAATAAATTCAATATAATAATTTATTTTGTTTTATTAAGCTATATGCATTAGTAAAAACAAAATAAAAATAAATTGCAATTTCCCGGCGCATCCACCATTTTTTACATTAAAAAACAGAAATGTGTAATTGTTTCTTTTATTCACTTATTTTGAGAACTTGTACAATTGTTTGTGCTTGTAACTTTTTTTATTATTGATATTTTGCAGGTTATGAAGACAGTAAACTATTTTCCAAAGCCTCGTCTCAGCTTCTCGAAAATTTAAAGACTAAGAATTTGACATACAATTACCACCGATATTGTATCTTTGAAGATGTTTTAAAGAATAACAATTTATTAAAAGACTGGCGGATTATTTCAAAAAATAAAGACAAGAATGGTTTGGAATTTGTTTCATCGATGGAACATGTGAATTATCCGTTTTTTGGAACGCAGTTTCACCCGGAGAAAAATCCTTTCGAATTTAAAAAAACTACTGTTCCTCATTGTCCAGAAGCAGTGGAACTTGCTCAGTATTTTGGAAACTTCTTTGTTAATGAAGCTAGGAAAAATAATCACACATTCGAGAACAAAAAAGTGGAAGAAGCTTCGTTGATTTACAATTTTAATCCAGTGTACAGTATCTACAACACATCTTATGAGCAATTATATTTGTTTAATGACAAAGATTACAGTAGAAAGTTGTTGTAGGCTAATAGGTTTTATTGTGGTGGTTTTAACTTGTTGTATTTGAGTAAAAAACAAATTTTGAAATAAAAGACTGCTGATATATTTAGTTGTTTATAGTTATTTATTGTAAGAGTGTGTTAGATAGCGTTTTATCCACGCAAAAATGTTTAATTTTCTTAAGTGGATAAAACGCTACTAACACACGACTGCAATATAACGTTTTATTCACAATCACAGGACCAAATTATTCCAAACTTAATTAAAAATTTAACTGACATTTAAACGTCACCCCAAATGTGCTTTCGGTTAAACGTAGTAAACTGTTACGCGGTGCGCTGGTTACTAATAGTAACCTTATTTACTTTATTCCACTAGTGGATAAAGTGGTACTTTATACGCATCTAAAGTGTGGAATGAAGTCTCTTTATAGAGTGATTGTGGATAAATAATTCTTATTTATTTTATTCTTTGACACTGTCAAAATTTATGGTTTTGTTCTGTGTAAGGAAGTTTTGACAACTGTTTGGCATTTCTCAATAGGAAACGTCAGATTATTTTTAACAGTTTTAAAGCAATTTTAAGCCTTGTTGGGTCTAATTCGAAGAATAAAATGTTGTAATCAACTCGTTTTTGTGTAAATCGGACGCTTTATTCCACCTCGTGGATGATCCATTCCGTGAAATAAAGCGTCCGATTTACACTCAAACTCGTCGAATAAATAACTATACTTTTCGTAGCTTTGACGTATTTAAAAGTTTTGTGCTTTAAAGTTTTGATTTGTTTGCATTTGTCTTTTATTTAACATTGGCTGCAAGTTTAAAAGTTATTAAGAATAAAGAATATTGAATTTTTATACGGAAGAATATTGTGGTGACGGACTTTATCAGGAAAATGCACGCGGCTTGGAGAATAAGCGTGTTTGAGATCGTGCTTCAAGCTGATATTACTCTCAGATGTCCGTGGGTAGGTGTTTGTTTTTATGTGGTGCAGCCATGTGATTTTCTTGAAAGAAGTCTTTTGTTCACCAAAACACTTTCATGATGATGTCAATTATTATCATTAGGTTCATCATTAGTTTTCCTATCAAGTTTTATTTATAATAAGTCCGTATTCAAGTTTTTTTTTGCGTTTTTTTATGTTTCTTTAAAGCAAATCATTCTTTAAGATATATTGATGTTTTGGGGAAAAGATTACGTTCTAAACTACCTACATACCTACCTATTTTAGATAATAAAACTCACACACTATACTTACGAATTTTTTATAATGCAAAAGATGCTATATCAAATGACCCTATCCTACGGAAAACTTGTAATCTACAAGTTGCTTTATTGCATTTTTATTTATTTATTTTTATTACAATAATCTAAAACAGGACAGAAACTAATGATAAAAAAATATTGTTGTTTGCTTGTGGCCTTATTCGTCGGAACAAAAATTTCGAAGGACCACGTGGTTTAGGAATTGAAAATAGATACCCGTTGTCAAGTCGTTGTCAAGTTGTATTACAACGTGAATCAAGTCAAGTGTGCGTTGCAACGACTGTCCAGCGTCGTTTGTAAGCTCACTGCTACAACCAGCATCGTGGTCACATCTCCGTCGTCGACGTCGTCTTCAACTACCATCGGGTAGTTTGTAGTACCATCTTGGTCCGTCCTGTCGTCAACCGATGGATTCCAGCCTTCGACTCTCCACCAGGCATCAACCAGGAACCAGGCACAGTACCGTCCCCTCTTACGTTGCGTTTGCTGCCTTTAATTTTGTGTTAACTTTCGTGTTGTACATATTGTATATTATCCAATATACAGTATGTCCCCGGATTGAGTTTACAAGAGGAGAAAAAAATTTATCTTTGATTTTACGCCAAAACTGCAAAGGAATAATTTTTTTTGCTTTACTTGAAACCAGCAAATCTGTAATTAAAACTTCATTATTCTAACTCAGTAGAAAGAAAAGTTCATAATTTTTCTCTGCATTTTAAGTCCTATCACATTGGCGGTTTTATTATTTTGACCTCATTGTCAATTTGACAAATGAGCTTACGCAAGTTAAATAACAAATACAGGGTGTTTACGGTCTTGAGGTTGAAATTTAAATGAGATGATATTCACGGTAGAAGAAAACTAATACGCTATATAAAACAAAAATTCACTTTGTTAAAGGAAATGATTCATTTTACACTATTTGTTTGAGAACTGCTGCTTCGGCTGCAACAATAGCCATTAGTATTATTACCTTGTGTTTCACCATAAATCATAATCACGACAACCAATTTATTACTTTAATATTTTGCCATACGTGTTCATAAAATTGAAGAAAAATTAAGAAAAACGAATCAAACCTATTGGAAACCAACCATTTGCTGAAAGAGATTAAACAGAAGATCTTCGAATTTTGATAAAAACTAAAGCAAAAGTAAATCAAATGATGACAATGTCAAAACTTGGATACGATTTTTTTATTTGTTGCAACAATACAATTTATCTGAACAAGGAAATAATTCCAGTGACCCTCAAACCGTGTACCAATATTTTGAAGTTAAATAATATTCTTGCTAATAACAATTGTGTGAGTTTTTTTCTCGGTTACAGTATTTCTGTACTCTTCTATTACTAGGTCAATTTTCAACTCCAAGACTGTAAACACCCTGTATGTTTGTGAAAAACATAATTTTTTATTATACCTGCATTATAATCCTAAACTAAAACACGCTGCAGCGTGCGTAATTTGGCCTTTATGGCACTCTGAATTTTAAAGTTGTCTATGTAACAAGAAATAGTGAAATCTCTGGACCAATTACAACGTGAAAAATGTGCCTAACAATTTAAACTAGTCACCGTCTCTACGAAAACGATTCACAAACAACCTTTGATAATTTTATTGTGTAAATTCACATTTTTTCAATGCTCATAAAAGATCGCAAATTGGCAGATATAATAAAAAATAGCGAATAAAACTCGTTTATAAGAGGCTTTAAAACACTTACGACGTTAAAAGCACTCCGCTGACGCGTCGTGCTCTTAAACGCGTTGTGCGTGTTTTAAGGGCTTGCTTATAATCTAGTATTATAATATACTCTTAATAACCAGCAACTCAAAGAAACAGCTTTAATATAAAAACCGAAGTCATTTTTAACAAGAACTATCATTATTTAATTAATAAATTAATTGTCAAAGTGACATATAATTGTCAAATAATTAAAACCGCCAAAAAGACTTTTTAAGCAGAGAAAAATTAAAAGTCCAAAATCAAGAGAAAAATGAACTTTTTTTTCTACTGAGTTAGAATAATGAAGTTTTAATTACAGATTTGCTGGTTTCAAGTAAAGCAAAAACTGTTTTCCTTTGCAGTTTTGGCGTAAAATCAAGATACATTTTTTTTTCTCTTTTAAACCCAATCCGGGTACAACGGCAGATTCAAAGCACACAATTGTGTTTTCAGTAAATTCAAAACATTTTTTAGGAGTTTGAATATGTTTGTGTACAGTTTATTTACAATTTGTTATTGATTTATCTTTATCATTTTATTTAAAACGCATTACTTACTATCAAATCATCCATCCTACTAGTTGTCGGTTAACTCCAGAATACAATAAGTTATCACGGTTATAACTCGTCACATCATTTCATATTCAAATGACACATGGACATGTAAAGTTGTTTTTAATTGAAAATTGATCCAGTTTACATACAGACATATAGCCTTTTAATTTCCTGTTTTACGTCATCAAATTTTAATACATCACACACCTCTTTACACTCGGTGCAAGTATAGGAATAAAATTTTTTTGCGATGGGTTTTTGCAAAATTGTATTAGAAAATATAAATTTTATATTAATTAACTTACACAAAAAGCCCTCTCTTGGAAAGTTGAGAAGTCATTTTGCTTTTATATTTAGTAATAAGTGTTTTTATTTATTATTACACAATTCAAATCATAAATGTAACCTTTCGTTATAATATAACATCATTATTAAGTACTCCAAATTCAATGCGGAAAATTTTGTTTGCGATATGTAAACAGCTATTAATATTTAATTGAGTGCATGCAAAGTGTTGTGTTTGTGTTGAAGTTGAAAATAAGCTGTGAAAATTTTATAAAAGGACTGTTTACACTAGATTGGCCATATCAGTAATTAGTAGTGTAATTTAGCAGTTAAAATTGCGTTCAGCAATCGTTATTGTTGACAAGAATAAGTTGTTTACACAGTCAGACGTTATAAGTACAGTTGACCCTGGTCGGGGGCTATTATCTGCTCTTAAAAAAGATGATCGATTTCAATTTATCCTCCTTTAGAAAATTCATTTTGATCTTGAATTTTTTATTAAAATTATATAATTTGTACACCCCTCTAAAAATAGAAAAGACATGCTGGGGTCAGATCTAACGTCTTCCACAGATATTAACTTAGGTACTCGGTTTATTCTTGTGAAGAATGAAGTAAACACGTGGCTGACAGAAATTACATGTGCCTGATTTAAGGCACATGTAATTTTTCTGTGAGTAGAGTTTGATAAATGTCAGTTCAACATTTCTTTTTTTCTAATTACATAAATTGGGAATTTTGACGAAAATGAACCGGGTGAGTAAAATTTCTTGCACGTTACTCCAACACGTGATAACTCCTGTCAAGAAAGCGGGATTATTTATAGGCGCTGTATTGGAGGACGATGTATTAATTAATAAGCAAAATTAATTAGGTATTTGAGGTGGAGTAGGTAAAGGAAAAATACGTCACGTTTGTCAACTTCCAAGGAAGTTCCGTGGGATAGATGAAAGCGTCACAAAGTCGACGCTTTGTGGAATCGTTTCAAACATAAACACGTGAACTTTGAACACGTTATAGATGAATCAAAAATGACGGCGGTTATAATTCACGTGAATTTCTAGAGATCTTGCATTAGTGCTTCTAGAAGCTCATTACCCTTTCTCTAGGATAACATATTCTAATTATTATTTTCAATCAAAACAGAGTCTAAATATGTACTTTGATACCCAAACGCTGTGCCAACCAAGTTACATTTTCCATTCATTTCTTTAAAATAATACAGGACTCGTCTTATTTTCAGCGTATTAAATTGTTACGTCACGTGTTACGAAG